CAGTTTCGTAAATGGGATGTAGCTGGGATGTATAGCTGGCCGCGCCTGGCCTGGATCAGCTCACTGAGCGTGTAGTAACTTATTACTTCCGTGCTTTTCTGATCGTATCTTATGGTTCAGATGTATCCAAGGATTGAAAGCTAATGGAAACGCTGATGGAAAGGCCCTTTGGCAGCGCTCCAACCCACGCCCCATCACATAGTTTACAGGGACATAGCAGTGAATGTTGATGGCGGCTGACTCAGGGTACAGATTTTTGGAGACGTTGAGAAAATTCTAGGAAATCGGTAAGAAGTTTGGAGAACTCGACATTATGGTAGGTAGGCTAGGAAAGGGGGGGGGGAAGTCGTATCAGAGGAGAAGTTCTTGAGGGGGCTGCTGTATGAGGGTATACGGAAGGAGGGTCGTACTTTACCCACCACTTCACCTTTCCCGGTGATGTACCCTGACCTCTTCGGCGCCGCACTCCTCCCCACCACACCTTTCACGGTCCAGGACAATAAGCTAGGGAGGTGCATGCGAGAAAGGCATTGTAGTTTTCCGAGAAGATCACTTTATGGACAGAATCGTCAACTTCGCACTCATTCAACAATAACCGACGAAACCTTAACTAGTATTATGGGTGCATGTATCAAAATCAGGCAGTTTAGGAACGTCCAGCGATCCACTGACTACTCTTGGACAATAACGGTTACCAGATGGCTCTTACACTGTATACCAGACCAAAAGACCGCCACGATCAGCTTTCTATAGATTTGGAAAGAAGGCGGAGGTGTTGTATCGTGTTCTTGAGAAAATCCACTGCATTACTCTCGCACGCCGTGAGGATGAAGAGTTGCTGGCTGTACTGCTGCCTTCTTACCAATGAGCAGCACGGCACATGTGACACAGACGAATCATGGAAGATGTGGCCACGCAGGAAATATACAATCGGGATCTCCTTTTCACTCTTGACATCAAGAGGAATGAAGCTCTGATTTGAGACAAGTGTTCCAATAAGAGGTCATCCGTTGACGTTTCACTGGGTTTCTAACCTTATACTGGTTCACATTGTGGTATAGCTTACAAATATGGCATCCTCATAATGGCTCCAGTACTCTTTCCATATGGAGGGAGAGTTATGACAAAAACTTACTTATCTCACAGGGTACAGAGCCGCGCAACGCCAGATTTTGAGACAAATTGGAAAATTCTTCGGAAAGTTGGCAAGGAATTGGAAGATCTCGACGAGATGGCAGGTGGGATAGTACCTGACTAGTACCTAACTGTTTCTCCTCGGTCCAGTCTAAGCTATTTTTTCCATGGACAAAACGAATGCATATTGTAAACAAACCATTGAAAGCTGCTTGAATTCGAGACTTCGGAGTAATGTACATAAACGCTGTAGGATTCACATCGTCTAGGGGCCGCCCAGAGCGGGTCGCACTTGGCCGCTTAGAAGTTCTTTGATTGCCGATTTTTCCCATTTCAGACGCGTTTTATATTCCTTAGAGTAGAGGAAGACGTATTGTAGAGGCAAGCGACTCGCTTTCCACTCGCCGGTCTGGGTGTTCAATCTGGATCGGTTCTCGCTTGTGCCAACCAATCCTTCTCCCTGTGTTGGTGCCGTTTGGGAGAAGAAGAACACTGACTTCCACATCGGCTGGCCTCCGCAAGTCATTGTATAGGCCACATCGCATTCAATAAGCCACTGCGATTCTGAATGGAAGTAGAATGCGTGCCGCACCCCAAGAAGGGATTGATCGATGGCCAGGGCTATTCTGTTGAGTACGTGATGTTGAAGCTCAACTGTTCCTAGCAGTTGACCGCTGCCCACTTCCTACTTCTTCTTTTTCCCTATTGCCTCCTCCCCCTCCCTTACCCCTGGACGGGTTTTGCGAGAAGAATTTCCTCGGTACGATCCTACATCTTCTTCATCCATCGGAGAAGAGGATGTAGGACCGCATCGAAGAACGGTTTATGGCATTCAAAATACTCCTGATTTCATGTCTTCGCACGTTCAGCTACCCATCAAGGCACTGCATCTACCTAGTAGACGGATACGGTGGAGATGGAAATCGCGGACGCTTCCTCACTAAACTTCCGTAGACCGAATACCGCAAAGGTCGTTCAAAGTTCTGTGATGCTGAACGGAATGCTAGGATGTATTACACGATGCAGACGGCTACCAACATTGTCAGAGTACGCTTTCCTAGAACGGTCACCTGTCGGCACCAGGCTACTTTATCATTGGGTGAATCCGATCGGGGAAGAAGTCTGGCCTTAACAGAAGTCTCCCAAGCTGCTATCTCGAACTACTAAACCTGGTAGTCGATTGGAGAAGAGCGCCTATCCGCTTGTGAATCGCTGAGGACAGCTGTGAACTTTGGAAAATCGATAGGAAATTAGAAGGATTCGGGAGGATTCCGTATAGCGGGGAGGGTAGGGGTGGCCGTGGGGAATCCTCAGGAGTGGTTCGGTGAAAGGAAATCAAAAAGCTCGTACTGACACCTCCATTCCACCCATTTACCCAGCACAACACTCATGATGTAGTTGTTGCGGATGGGGTTCACACCTTCAACCGGAGTCGGTTGTTAGACCAGATGTGTTTGTGAAAAGAAAAGTTACGAATCCCATTGATTACCACCACTAATTAGATGATAATCCAATTCAAAGTTGGGGTTACACAGCTTTCCTTTCAGTTTCTAAGTCATAAGCTTAGTTTGAGAACCCTTTGGTGTAAAACACATCAAACTGCAACCTTTCCTAAATGTACGTCAGCCATATTTGTTAAAAATAACTAAAGGCCGTCATATTTCGGTGTTTTCCATTCAGGAATAACGAACCAAAAGAATTCAATCCAGAGTAGGCCCTTAGAGGAACCCCAACCGTGCTGTTGGCTGCGGACCGCGCTCGGTGCCCCGCAAACAAGGGTGCAGAGGAGAGTTTAATTAAGTCAAAAGCTGCATGTCGGCAGTAATCTGTGCATCCATCGTCAGAAAACGTTAGAGCTTATTGCTATCCATAGAATAGAGTGCAAAACGGTATATTTTTCCCGGTCTGATACGGTACAGTAATGCCTCAAAGGAGTTACTGGTGTTACGTGACACACATTCCCGTGAAGCGTGCATTTTAACAAAAGCTCAAAAATTGACGGATCCTACTAGATCTTATACAAAAAATTACTGGCTTCAAAACTGTATGCGAAACTTGGCTTAAGATTGAACAGTTAGACGGATTTATCCTTGCAAAAAGGGGTCACTCGTGAATGTGATTAGACATCATGCAGCTTAGCCGGCGATTATTACTACTTTGGACAAGCATTTAGCGACAAAGCATCACAGAATGTTAAACATATGTGTTTTCTAAATGTTTGTGAAATTTCGAAGTGATTGGTTGCGAATAGTTAAATTTACAAACGTTTTTTCTCGTTGCACTCGACACGGCGCCGCACGATTTAGGTCCGCGCCGAGGTCACCGGTGGTGGAGGCCCGACGGGGGAACCCAGGTCGCTATATAAATAGCAGCAATCTCTCGGTTGAAAACGACTTCAGTCGCCATGTCTACTGCTGCTACTGCAACTGCAACGAAATCTGCAAAGCCTGCAAAGGCCTCGAAGACCGCCAAGAGTCCGAAGAAGATGCCTTCCCATCCCACCTACTCGGCCATGATCATGAAGTCAATCGCTGAACTCAAGGAGAAGTCAGGCTCATCCAAGGCGGCTATTCTCAAGTACATGCTGTCTCACTACAAGCTCGGTGACAACGTTGACAAGGTATGAGCATCTTTGTTTGGGTTGGGAGTACTAGTTACCTAGTCACATTGCTTGCAGGTTAACAGCCAACTCCGCCTTGCGTTGAAGAGAGCCGTGCTCAAGGGAGAACTCAAGCAGGTCAAGGGAATTGGTGCGTCAGGAAGCTTCAAGCTGGCTGAGAAGAAAGCTGCAGCCCCTAAGCCCGCGAAGAAGGTTGGCATATTTCCGTGTTCTAGTTTTTTGTTTTGGGGTCCATGGCATGTTTTCAATGCTGCTGTTATAGACCGTCGCCAAGAAACCGGCTGCTGCCAAGAGCCCAAAGAAGCCGAAGTCCCCGAAGAAGGCCGCCACCAAGCCCAAAGCCGAGAAGAAGGTCAAGAGTCCGAAGAAATCTAAGACTCCGAAGGCCAAGACCGCCAAGAAGTCGACTGCGACCAAGACCAAGAAGGCTGCTAAGCCGAAGGCAACCCCGAAGTCCAAGTCTGCTTCGAAGCCTAAAACGGCCAAGAAGGTCAAAGCCTGAATACCTCAATTGTGAAGTGCCTTGAAACCTGTGAAGATCTCATGTAAATATGTATTAATTGTGTGGCGCTTAATAAATATATTGTTATTATTAATTGCTGTTTGGGTTGTTGCTTTTAGTTGTGCCCTTGGTTAAACTTGCAAGTTGGGCAGGCTGTCTTCTTGAACTGTTCCTCACAGAACTTGTAAACTGTCAAAATGCGAATCAGTCCCTCTCGGAACCACAAATATCTGTGGCTGCTCTGGTGCTTCTAGTTCCGTTTTCAAAACTAGACGTACTGATAGAAGTCCTATGGGACCAAGGGCGGCTTGGAACCATTCCATTACTTAATTGATCCGATTATTGTTAGGCAACAGGTTGGGTTGTCTAATGGTCATTACCATGCAGGCAAGGGCAGTGTTCCTGATCTAAACATGGTCGTGAGTGTCGACCCCGGTGGATACTTGTCAGGACTTTAGGCTACTAATTAGTGACACGAACTACTCGCACTTCATACTATGGCTACTACTACTATTTCTGCATAAAAGTAATCGAGAGTGTGAGAAGCTGCATTAGTGAGTTCTTCATGACAAAATGAAGGGAAGAACATACAAGGGTAGGATTACGGATTTTGATCGATCTTTTTTTCTACGGGGGTGGATTTGGCTGAAAGTTGGGTTCTAGGGGTAATTCGACCTCCTGAACACGAATATCACATCCGCTCCGCTCGAAACTGTCTGGCGCCTGCGCTACAGGCGGCAAGGTGCATTAGACCACCAAATCCGCTGAAAACTCGTACCTAGGGATAGTTTGACGTCCTGAAAAAGAATATCACATCCGCTCCGCTTGAAACTGTCTGGCGCTAACGTAGCCTAGGTCACCAAATCCGCAGAAAACTTGTATGCGGAGGTTATTTGGCATCTTGATTAATATCACATTCATTTTTGGCGCTGATGGAAGACACTACGATCCTGCGCTCTGCTAAGGCCGAGCATGGCCTACAGGGAATCACTCCATTCACTCCTTCTCCCCTTCTCCATTTTTTTGACTTTTTGGGGTAGTGATAGTTGAGTAGTGCCAAATTTTCGCTGAAACTTTGCCCACAGAGGTAATTCGGTGTCCTGGTCACGAATATAGCACTCGTTTTCGACGCTGGCGCCAAATTGGCGTTAGTTGGCGCCAGTTTGGCGCCGCCACCTTTCTCACCAAATTCGATGTAAATTTGCATAGTAGGGTTACTTGATGTCCTGATCACGAATACCGAATTAGTTTTCAGCCCTGGCGCCATTTGGCGCTGATTTGGCGCCACACCTTTTTCATCAAAATCGATAAAAACCTGCATAATGGGGTTGTTTGATGCCCTGATCACGAATATGACATTTATTTTTCGACACCAGCGCCATTTAGCGCTCTTCTAAGGCTGAGCCTGGGAGAAGGAGTGATTCCCTTGCCAGGCTCAGCCTTAGCAGAGCGCAGATGATCGTAGTGTCTTCCATCAGTATGCAAGTTTTAGCGGATTGGTGACCTAGTGTGCTTTGGCGCCGGCACCTGTGGCGCGGGCGCCAGACGGTTTCGAGACAAGTGGATGTGATATTCGTGTTCAGGAGGTCGAATTACCTCTTGAACCCAACTTTCAGCCAAATCTTCCCCCGTAGAAAAAATCTTCCGGCCTGTTTTCGGAAAATGGAATAGCAATAGTTGAATAGTGCCCTAGTTGCTGAAGCGAGCAAACGAAGAAGGTGTGTCATGTTATCGTTCGAATTAGTCACTTCCCACCAATTATTGACGCTTGCCCTCTCCAATGACTGGTAGAGAGGGGGCTGACGCCGCGTCAAACCCAGCCTCACTGACACGCCTATCATCCGCAGCGAACAAAACTGTTTGTTCGTTCTGCTGCCAGGTCACTTCCAAAGTAGGGGGGGGGTCGCGTTTGGCTCCAAGAATTTTTCCGATGGTTTATTTTCCATAAAGTTGGTACAGACATTATCCTTGCAGAAGATAGGGT